AAAAAAAAAAAATTGGAGGTACAAAAAAATGTATCTACTCTATGTGGCCTAGGATTCCACTGAGAATCCTAGAGAGGGATTGTGGGAGGCAGGGGCTCAGGCTGCTGTGGTCTGGATGCCCTCCGTTCTCCCCAGACCCCACTTCTCTATTTGCACTTGACATGCTGGACATCCAGGTTGCCCACTAGAATGTCAGCTCCAGGAGAGCAGATGCCATTATCTATATGTTCATGCTGAGTTTCTGGTATCTAAAACAGTATCAAGCATAGAGTGGGTGCTCCCTAAATATCTGTTGAATAAACAAATTAGCCTAATCTACACAATTCCAAATGTGGCAGTTCTATCCCTTCCCACTCACTGCAACCTTCCCTCTCTCTCACAGGCCAAACAGGTGCTCAAGTGAGCTCTCTAGGAGGGCTTCTTCAGTTTGGTCTCAACCACCCCCCTCCCTGAACCTGTGGACAATATGTGCTCAACCTGGGGCTATCCTCCCCCAGAGAGAACCCTGTGTTTCAACTGTCCTCTCTAATTGCCCTTGTCAAAGGGTCCTCTCTCAGAGGCCATAAGCCCAGAGTCTCATGGGTAAAAGCCAGTCTTAAACAGTCTTCTTCAAGAAGCTGAATTGCTGCCTCTTTCCTATGCACCTCGCACCACACTTTCACCTCCTCACCCCCATGCTCACCAGGCTGGTTCCTTTTGGGCTTTGCCTTCTTCCACAATTTTATCCAAGGCATTCAAGACAGCTTCCAGGTTCCCTTCCTCTTTTATTTCTGAGACTTCCTCCTGAAGAGAAAGGAGGAAAGAGTTATGATAATACTAGACAAACCCACAGTGAAAATACATTAAACTGCTAACAGCACCTAGTAGGATTTTGGCTAGTTTCTATTCTGTATCTTTGTACTTTCCCAAACATTCCAACTTTCCTATAACATATGGCTTTCATAATTAAGAAGATAAAATATAAAATGGAAGACATTTAAAGAGCCTGCAGCAAGCCTCTCCCCTCCCTTGCCACAACCCTACTGCTACCCTACTCCCAGAGCCCTTTGCTGACACTGTACATGCTGATGCTTCATGGGACCATCTGGGGTGTAGCAGCATGGAAGTTTACCTCTCTAGAGATATTAAAGTCACTTAAAGACAAGAATAGAACTGTATACTTTTTTTTTTTTTTGAGACAGAGCCTCAAGCTGTCACCCTGAGTAGAGTACTGTGGCATGACAGCTCACAGCAACCTCCAACTCCTGGGCTCAAGCGATTCTCCTGCCTCCACCTCCCTAGTAGCTGGGATTATAGGTGTCTGCCACAGTGCCCGGCTGTTTTTGGTTGTGGCCATTATTGTTGTTTGGCGGGCCCAGGCTGGATTCGAACCTACCAGCTCAGGTGTATGTGCCTGGCGCCTTAGCCACTTGAGCCACAGGCTCTGAGCCAGAACTGTATACTTTTTAATATTCCCAGTAGCATTCAGTTCCACTGATCAAACAATTTGTTAAATGCTTTCTCTGCACTAGGTGTTACACCGAGAGCTGGAGGTACAAAGATGTGTAAGACCCTGTCCTGCCCTCACTGAGTCCGCAGTCTATTGTGGCAGACATGTACAGACATATAATTATGATACTGGACAATAAGAGGAGGGGGAGGGATGACTAATGCTGCAGCCTGCTGGGCACCAAGAAGTTTTAGGGACTGAGAATATGGGGCAGAGAGTAGGGGGTCACTGCCCTCAGAGGACTGACTAGAGACAAAACCAAAGTCAGCAGTACCTGCTGGGCTTCTTGCTACTCACCCGAATAGATGTCTGCAACTGAGTTATAAACTTGTCATAGATTCGCTGTGTCATCTCAGGCTGTAACCGGTAGAAGTGCTTGTAACAGTCAGTGAATCTCTGGTAGCTAGCAGGAAAGAGACAGTAGAAGCGGGAGGATAACCGGTCACCAGGCTGCCTGGCGACTTCTGCTTCTCATCACAGGACTCTAGGCTTTATCTTCCTGGCCTTGGTTAAAGGCAGTAGATGCAAATCTCTCATTTATAGCTATGGTTCAACTCCACCAGTGCCCCATCAGTGTCCTCAATTCTCTCAGGAGAGCCCCAAGTTCAACTATTTGTCCCTTAAAGATCACTTCTAAGAAGCTTCTAGATGAGACTGACAGTGCTGGTCTGGGAGGCTCATTTTGAGTTTTCTGGATTAGGACAGGGCTTGTGGCCTCTGAGAAAGATTGCCTTACTCCTAAAGAGCTGCAGAGAAGACAACTAACGCCCTTTTTGTAGGACATTACCATATGCAGGTGACACCTCCAGCTACCCACAACTATGGGGGCCCTATTCTGAGGGTAGGGCTTATACCAACCTGCATCCACCCTACTTTGGGGCTTCTTGTTGAACGAGATAATAGATTTATTGTTCAAAGCTGATTTTTTTTTCTTTTAGACAGAGTCTCAAGCTGTTGCCCTGGGTAGAGTGCTGTGCACAGCTCACGGCAACCTCCAACTCCTGGGCTCAGGCAATTTTCCTGACACTGCCTCCCAAGTAGCTGAGACTACAGGTGCTGGCCACAATGCCCAGCTATTTTTAGAGACAAGGTCTCGCTCTGCTCAGGCTGGTCTCGAACCTATGAGCTCAGGCAATCCACCTGCGGTGGCCTCCCAAGTGCTGGGATAACAAGTGTGAGCCACCCTGCCCGGCCCCCAAGCCTGATTTTCAATCAGGTCTCTGACACTAACAGCTGAGAGCTTTTCATTGCTATATCCTGGTAGCTGGAAGGATCAAAAGAGACTCAGTTCATTCTAATGGTTTATTCCTCTTCAGTTAAAAAACTCAAGTTAAATAAAATCTCATGGTGGTTTCTTCTCCCTCCCTTGTTTTCCCATGTCTCTGCTTTCTCAGGCCCTTCCCTTTCAACAGATTCACTGACTGCCTGCTATATACCAATTGCCCACCAGGAACTGTGTATTCAGGGGTAAGTGAGACTGACATGGCCCTCTGGAGCTTCCAGGAGAGAGGGAAAGATGGCAGCAAACGCAGAGACCCACATGAATGTGGCCATCACCACTGTGGAGAATGTTCTGAAAAAAAAGGGCAGGGTTTGGAAGCTGAAAGAGTGATCATCTTTAAGGTTCCAGGGGCAGGGGGTTAGTGTCAGATGAAGCAACATTCAAGTGACCTGTGGACAATGTCTGAGCTCCTGAACAGTCCTCAAACACAAAAGCTCACATCTGTCCACTGTATGGGTCAGGCTAGTGGACCACTGGATAAATAGGTCAGTAAACGCCACAGCCCAGTACAGAGCCCCAGCCAGGGGTCACTGCTGGGTCCTCCCTTTCTCATGGCAATTTAACCTCCAACTGACCCCCACCCTCACACAATGTTTTTGGGAAAAGGTGCAGACTAATAGCAGTGATGTGGGGGAGCCAGCTCATAGTGTCTTGCAAGACACAAGTGCCACATATTAAACACAGACACTATTAAAAATTAAATTGGGCCAGTGCCTGTGGCTCAGTGAGTAGGGTACCTGCCCCATATACTGAGGTTCAAACCCAGCCCCAGACAAACTGTAACAAAAAAATAGCTGGGGCTTGGAGCCTGTGGCTCAAGTGGCTAAGGCACCAGCCATGACATACACCTAAGGTGGCGGGTTTGAACCCAGCCCGGACCTGTCAAACAACAATGATGGCTGCAACCAAAAAATAGCCGGGCATTGTGGCGGGTGCCTGTGGTCCCAGCTACTTGGGAGGCTGAGGCAGGAAACT